AAAACTTGAATTGAAATGTGTACGTTCAAGGAAAATTGGTCTTCGTATTGTTTTAACCGGTAGACAAGAAAGTTTATTACAATGACCGTGACATTTCAGCATTGGTATCACGTTAGGAAAATAAGAATATTCGTTATCCAGGACAAGTTTCATTAATGTCATTCGCGGCTTACATAACGTCTGTTTCCTTACATCAGAAACTTTCATGCTTATGTTTTTGGTGCATCCTATCGTGATTAGAATGTTTTTTTTTTTCTATTTATTTCTTTTCTTTGTAAAAATAATTCTTCCATTTACGCGGATTTACTTTAACGCGTTTGAATGAACTTTTATTGACACGATTTTCATTTAATATTTTTACGGAATCAAAATATACTCACGTATATGGAAGGATTATTGTAATTATAATTATAATAATAATTGTTTGTTATAAACGGTATAAATATTTTCAATGATATATATCTTACCTACTTCTATTTCTCGCTGGCCATTACTGTATTCCTTGAATTCGTATTTCCCATCGATGATATAAATAAGATTGATTATCAATAATACGAATACATTCAACTTACACATCATCATTTTGTTTCGTACACGGAATATGAAGAACTGAAATACTTCGTAGAACTCTTCTTGCTTTATAAGATCTGTAATACGCTTTTTTTACTAACTATTTATATAAATTTTGGTAAAATCAGTTGTGATTAAATTGTGGTTAAATTGTGTCAAATTATTATCATAGTTTCAAATTTCCGTTGGTGAATGAGGAAAAAATGAGATCATTATATTATTTTATCCTGTCAACGTTTCATTTCCTTTCTTTTTTTTTATTTTTTTTCAATTTTGCTATGTATATAATATTTTTCTAGTTAAAAACCATGATTATGCGATACATGGAGAGTTTATATTAGGATTCAAGGCCCTATTTTATCGAACCTTAATCTTTTTATCGTCGTTTCTTTTTAAAAACATGAGTTTTTACTTGTATTATTAACAAACGAATTCGTATTACTCTTCTTCTCACTTTTTTCAATCGTGTTACTTCTTTCATTACTCGTCATCGTGTTGACATTTTTTAAGATCATTTACTGATAAAGAAACCTCACTGTTTCAACGGAAAACAAATCAAATATTTTCTTACGTCTCATATTACGGAAACGTAATAAATAATGAGAGAAAGAAAGAAAGATTGTAAATTGTAATTTAGTTTATTACTTAATAATTTATACATCTTATCGAATTATTTTTGTTTGTTTGTTTGTTTTTTTTCGAGGAATGTCGATTTCGTCGAGACACGTAAAAAGTAAAAAAAAAATTTTCGATACTCGTCGGGAATGGAAAAAAGCGTTGCATTTTTTTCCCGTATAATTTCATTTCTTTTTTTTTCTATTTCTTTAATACTTATATATATATATATTTATTTATTTTTAGAATGTCAAAATGGGCCCTTCTCGATGATCCAGTATATCTGAGAAAAGAACAAACGGGAATAAACATTTCATAAATTGTCAATAAATTTATTATTACTTTTATAACGATTTATATTTTACGAAAATAATTGTGCCGATAATTATGATAATGGCATGAATGAAAAAAAAAAAAATTATACAAATTTATTTGTTGCCTTATTTTATAATCTGATTAATATGAATATCATATAAATCATAAAATTCATGTTTCTTAATTTTTTTTCATTTAGTTAGTCCATTGTTATTATTATCGGTATAATAATAATAATATTAATAATTTGCAAATACCTTTAGCTATGCTCCACCAGGGTAAGGTAATGTAAGTGAGAAACGCATTGAGAGGCACGGATTGGGCTCGTCTAGTTTCCTTCCAAAAATGAAAGGTCTGAGTGAATCCTCGCATCGTCCAAAGAGGATTATACGCCCCATCGTCCAATTCTATTGTCAAAGAACAAAATATTCGATCATATTGAGATTCCTATAAATAATATTACATATTGTTTATATTTCATTTATCATATTACGAGTAAAAGAGAATTGGTTGTGTCGATGAGTAGTCAGTCAATCGATTTATGTTTGTTCGCGCGTATGAATATGCGTGTTAAGGTATATTATTATTATTTTTTTTTTTTTTTTTTTTTTTTTTGACATATTTCGTTATTTATATCATTTTTCTTCGCAATTATTTTGATCGTAGGAAACGATTATAAGGGCGTTGGTGGTAGTGACAGTAGTGGTGGGGTGGTTGGTTGTTTGATACGATAAGAAAGGGTCAATCGAAGACTATACGAGTGTACGAGTATAAAAATGAGGGTTTTAGTTGAAACTTATGATATATGGTATGGGACAGATAGATACAAAAAAAAAAAATAAAGAACAAAAATAAAGAGAGAGAGAGAGAGAGAGTATGATAAAAAGAATAAGAGAAAAAGATAAATGGGAATAAGAAATAATGATTATGTAAACGCTCAATTATAAAATGATAATAATTATTCCTTTCGATAAAATCGAAATAGACTATAATCTCTCAACGACATCGCGTTGAAGTTAATCGTAGGATTCCATCACCAACATCATTCACGTCAATCACGAGATAGGAGAGAGACGCATTTGAAGTTCACGGTCTGATCATCGATCGACCCCAATCTTCCATTGTTTAAGTTTTTATGCAACAAGTCACGTACGATGATGATGATAAGGAGAAGCGGAAGAGATGAGTTTTCAGAGAAATGACTAAATAAAGTATTCAAATTAAAAGTATACTATGAAACTTTCTCGATTATACGAATATTATTTAATTTAAAAAATGTCCTTATAATTTAGATAGAACACTCCTATATCAAAGTGAATTTTCATTTCGAAGAAATATATCATGGAAAATTCGTATAATTCGTAGCACATATATATATAAATAATATAATAGTATATTATACAACTAGTGCGAGTAGTTGAGCGACGAGAACAACTTCGCTCTGGTGGGCAATCGACAACTTCGCACTAGTTGCATATACTATTTCTTATTAAGAATGCGGGGACATATTTGGTACATAATTGGGGTCCAGGTGGCGAAGCTTCTGCGGGGTCCAGGGGCAGAGCCCTGGCCAAG